AGTCAACCTCTATGGAGAAGATACTTCCTCCCAATGTTTTCCTTCTCCATTAGATGCCTTTGACACCCCAATCCTTTTGAACCCATCACCCCCCATAAAGGGGTGGCAAAAGAAGAAGAGGGCAATCACAGCAGCAGAATTGAAGCTCCACATCTTTTGTGCTTGCCCCAACCTAGCCCAAACAACATACAAAATGGTGGGGCATTGATTGCACCCCTGTAACCATTGTTGTGTCTTACGCTTTTTGACAATCCATACAATGGGTTAGTGGTGCATATGCAGGGGTCTTCAAACTTGGCAGCTTTAAGACTTGTGGACTTCAAGTCCCAGAACTCCTCCTCCAGTCATGTTAGCTAAGGAATTCTGGGAGTTGAAGTCCACAAGTCTTAAACTTGCCAAGTTTGAAGACCCTTGCCATATAATTTCTCTCCCTCCTTCATTTTTGGACCCAAACGAACTTCTAATCAAAGAGAAAAACTCTATACCTCTACTTGTGGAAGAAGTGCGGTGTTTAGAAGACAGGAGGGTGACATATTTTGGTGGTCAGTCGAAAGCTTGAGTTCCTACAGCCCATTGATGCAAACTGTGGTTTGTTTGGTTTTGGCTTAATGAGTTTTACATGGAGCCAGTTATGCTTTAGTCAATAAGCCACGTCAGGCAGATCATGGTTTGGTGCAATATAAGAACCCACTTTAAAGCTGTTCATCATGCGCCTACAGATGCTATATCTGCTTCCAAATAATGGGCTGTACCATGGAAAAATTGTTGTTTACTTCTTCTGTTTTCCCCACTCTTCCTCTAAGGAATTAAGGGTAGTTAAAAATAGGATCTCTGATTTAATGTTTTAGCCCCCCTCCCCTCAATGTAAATAAGATGCAGACAGAGGCCGGCTTTGTAGCTGAAGGGACACTGGAACTCTGCTCTTCCAGGTCAAATTCTAATACAGGAAGTCCTTGACTTACAACAGTCCATTTAGTGACCATTGAAAGTTACAACGGCACTGAAAGAAGTAACTTCTTTCCACACTTGTGACTGTTGCAGCATCTCCATGGTCCCATGATCAAAATTCAGAGGCTTGGCAACTGACTCATATTTATGACTGCTGTTTCCTGGGGTTATGTGAGACTCCCTTTCTGTCAACCAGAATCAAGGAGGTAGCCACATTCCCTTAACAACTTTAGTGATTCACTTACCAATTATGGCAAGAAAGGTCACAAAATGGGGCAAAACTCACTTAACTGTCTGGCTTAGCAACAGAAATTTTGGGCTCAATTGTGGTCATAAGTTGAGGCCTGTGTGTATGTGTGTATGTGTATACACGTATGTATGTACTGTATGAATATGTATATGTACACACAAACACACATATACACCCCAGAAGACTGTACTCAGATTCTACAACTTTCATGTGGAAATAACCTTTTCTGCCCTCAAAACAGCTGGGCTCCTGCTTTCTTCTGTTGGCTGCTAAATGCAATGTTACAAGCCACCCTCGTTAGAAAAAAATTATCTGTCCAGAACCACAGTGGACATATAGGCCTTCGGTAGGTTGGTTACACTATTTAAAACTCTACACTTACTTGGATTATCTAAGGCTAAACTTTCACTTCACTCAATCATCATAATTGGGTGGAGAGTTTAGCCAGGCATGTATATATATTTGAGAGAGAGGGAGGGAGGGAGGGAGAGAGATAAGGAAAAAGATACTCTCGCTAATATTTGCACAACTTTCCAATTAAGTTGACACCTGTTGATGCCAGGCGCTCTCAAATGAGCTGCCAACCTGCCAATGTTGCTGAGCAAGTGCCCTAAATTTAACCTGGTAATCTAATACAGGCAGAAACTTTGCCAACTTGTTAGCTCTCACCTGAGGCTAACTCCTCTATTGTCACATTCCTAGCTGGCGGAAAATGCAAAACCCAGATCTGACATACCTTATTAGATTTCCTTCCTTTCGAATACCAACAACAACAAAAACCCAACCCCCCCCCACAACAATCCCAAACCCTTCAAACAAACAATGACAATTGCCTTAATCCATAAAGGAGAAAAATCCATCATCAGGAGAATCAATAATTGGAAGAAAAAAACTTGAAGGGAGGAGCTTTAATTAACTTAATTAGGGTTAACCAAGATCGGACAAATATACCTAGCAGTTGTTGAGAAAGGTTGCACATCCTTAAGTGTCGTTTTGGTTGTTTAAAAAACAATTTCCTTTCATTATGGCAGGATATCAACCTTCCATTAGAGTTTTGTAGCTGAAGGAAATACTTCCATACAACTCTGAAGAAAACAACAGCCCTTGTATCATGAGAAGCTGAGGTTAATCTACATGAGTCTTGACTTTTCAAACTTAAGTTTTGGGATGATAACCCATCATTAGAGAGTAAATGTGAAGGATGGGAAGAGAGAGAGAGAGAGAGAGAGATCTGATCATTAACTGATTTCTCATAACTCACTAAGCCTTGATATATCTTGTTTGATTTATGGCTCAAGAAGTTAATTGCACTTGCTTATAATTCTATAATCTTTCAAAATCTAAATTTTAACATTTTAATTCTCATATACTGTTTTATATTTCGGTACTGTACTGTACACCATATACTGATTGAGATAGGTGGTCCAGAAATGCAAAATAATAAACAAACAAACAAACACAAGCCCAGCTAAAGTGGCTTCTTCGACAAATAAACTTTTTCAGGATCCAGTCTGGGACATGTATATTCGCCATCATTGGTAAATCAACTATTATTTTTTATTTATTTTTTTAAAAAATCTTGTTTTTGTACAATGCATGAACCGAGAAAGAGGCTGCACTGCAATGTTTGAGTTTTGTCAAACACTTGCTCTAAAGCTCTCCCTAATTTTAGTTAGTGGAACAACCCACTGGGTTTGGCCTGAACACTGCAGTTATCAGTGACTGATTTAGTATGACTGATAGTAAGCCAAAGGAACAGAAAGTTCTCCTATCTTTGGGAAATCCGGTGAAGTCAATTGTTTGCAAGGGATTATAATTTTTAAAAGGTCTGCAATTCTTATCTGGAAGTATATGAAAAGTAGGAAGCAGAAGTTGAATATATAACACCACCAAGAGCAGAAAAGGCTTCAGCAGAACACGAAAAATGCATCATACTGCCCCATTTAGACAAGTGGTTATTTCTACCACTTACACAGATGTAGCAGATGCTGGTATATATTAAATGAGCATGCAATGCTACATAATTAAGTTGCACCTCCTAACTGCTATAATGAACACTTCCGTACTTTAAAATAGGATTTTACAAAACTAAAGGTATAACTTTTATAAAGACATTTTTGTATCCTGGACATTTAGACAATCTGTTTTTTGTCTTTGTTTGTTCACATAGCAGACATTTAAAAGTGTGAAGTCACACTCTTACAGCCAAGGGTTAAGCCATTTGATTCTGGGAGCATTACTTCCAAAGACACATGTACACATGTCAAGGAAGGAGTTGATTCTGCTCTAACATGGAGGTGTCCAGCTTGCGATCCACCAACAGATACCCTCCAAATCTGGTAGCCTCAGAAACCCCTTTAAAAGTTGCCCAGAATTCTTTTGTCAAAGACAAAAATGATTCACTTTATTCATGCTCACTGAACATTATCAATCCAATGTCAAGTAAGTTGAATTGTTTGTCTACGTTATGCTGGCCTTTGTCACCTGTAACAAGAGGTTCATGGACATCAAAGCACAATTGTAACCCAGCAGAAATTAAAGGAAGCTAATGAACTTTACCCTTTGGTAGATATTAACCAAACAGTAATTGGGGAACACAAGCCTAGATCTTCCCTTATGGATTCAACACATAGGTACTCCCTAAGACCGAGTTCTCAAGTAAATCTAGCAAGAATTTGAATAAAACAGCATAAAATCAGGCCAGGTTTCCCCTCCCGCACTAAGTTCCCATCAGAGTTTAATGGCCAGAGAATAAACTGGCTATGTTCACTGTTGGGTTATAGAATCAGTCAGTTTTGTGAGTTTATTCAGTACAGGGTTGGGTTTTGTTTTTGTTTTTTGAGTTCATCCAATATTGTACCTTGAACAAGAAGCTGATAATCAAAGGTTTTGCATTTAATCCCCTGATCAAGGCATGCGCCAAGCATCCTTAACCGTGATGGTCTCACAGAAAGCCAAAACCAGACCCCCTTTCCCATAGAAGTCACAAGCCTGGCACCACGCAGGAAAAAAAAATATCTCAGTTTCTTCCAGCAAATTCTACCCACCCCAGATGCCACTCTACCCTACTGCCCAGTTTATTGCCATCCAGAAAGAGATGCCAAGGCGTTGTTGTGCCTGTTTCTGATCCATAAATGTATCCCATAGCATGCACCAGGTGGGGTGGGGGCGAAGGCAACAGGTACCCAAGGAACCAAGTGAATTTCTGGGTGAGGGTCAGTGTCTCCCCCCCCCCCACTCCACGCCACCACTCCCTCCCCCAATTCGGTTTTCACCCACCGGGCAGAGTTTACACTCGTTTCGCAGTTTATATAAGGGGAGGGGGGGGAGGGAAACGCAGGACTTTTCCGGAGGCTTTTCACTTCGCCAAGAAGGAAGGGAGGTGGCTGGAAGAAGTGGGGAGGGGCGGGCGCTGGGGGAAGGTTTCTCTCTCTCCCCGGACCCTCCTCGGAAGGCAAAACTCCAATTCACACACGCACACACACCCTACCCAATCCTCACCTGTCTTTTCCTCCAACTTCACATCAAGGAGGCTCCGAATCGGCGGAGAAAATACCTGTTACGCAGGCGGGATTTATTTTTTTAAACTTAATTTAATTTATTTTTGCTTTGCTTTGCTTTGCTTAACCAGACGAGAACAGAACTAATCGGAGCCGGGGGTGGAGTGGAAGCAAAACTCCCCTCCCTTAAATTCCCGAGGAACCTCGCCAAGAGTCGGTAGACATCCGCTCCCCCCTCTTCCAAGAGAGCAAAGGGGCTCCCGCGCCAGGAGGGACCCCTGTCTGTCCTGCCTCGAGCTCACCTTGCGAAAATAGCAGGAGCCTCTCTGGTCCGCGGCCGGACAGCCGGTGGGCAGCAGCGTCTCCGTCATCTCCAGCCGCTGGTGACCGGGGCCGGGGATGGGGTCGCCCGCTACCTCCGTGGCCAACTCACCAAGTGAGTCCTCGCCTCCACCGCCTCGCTTGAGCGCCCAGGCGCAGCACCAACTGCGGTCTGGCTGCTCTGCAAGCTCCTCCCCTTCTACCTGGGAAACCCGCGGGGAGGGAGTGGAGGAGGAGGAGGAGGAGGAGGAAGCGCTTCCTTGGGCTGGTGCCTCGTGGATTCGGGCCGCGGTCCCGCCCAGCAGCGGCTGTGCAAAGGATCAGAAGCAGAGTAGAGCTGGAAGGAAGTCAATCAATCAGAATAGAGCTGGATGGGGCCTTGGAGGTCTTCTAGCCCAACCCCCTGCTTAAGCATCCTTTCAGACAAGTGGCTGATCTCCAGTCTCTTCTTAAAGACCTCCAGGGATGGAGCGCCCACAACTTCTGGAGGCAAGCTGTTCCACTGGTTAATTGTCCTCACTGTCAGGGAGTTTCTCCTTAATTTCAGGTTGTTTCCTCTCTCCTTGATTAGCTTCCATCCATCAAGGAGAGGAGCAACCTGGAATTAAGAGCGGTGAGGTCAACCCAAACTGGGGATGCATTTCTCCCACCCATCCCCAGGCTCCTGGTCAAAGGAGGAGCTGCCCAGGACTGCGAGTTTAGCGAGGAACAGAGGTGGTATTCAGCGGGGGTTCTGACCAGTTCTGTTGAACCGGTAGCGGAAATTCGGAGTAGTTTGGAGAACCGCTAAATCCCACCTGACTGGCCCCGCCCCCATTCTATGCTCCGCCTCCTGAGCCCCAGCTGATTGGCTGGGTCTCCTTTTGTTGCCCTGCATAGGAGAACGGAGCTGGAAAGCAGGTTAGTCGGGTGGGGAGGGAATGGGGATTTTGCAGTAATCTTTCCCCTGCCACGCCCACAAAGCCACACCCACAGAACCGGTAGTAAAAAAAATTTGAATCCCACCACTGGCCAGGAAGATCGGTTCCCGGGATCCGTGGCTCTGTACCTAATCGAGAGGCAGATCCTATCCCTACCCTGAGCAGATCGAAGGGTCAATTGATCCTGCTAAGGGCGGGAATGGGATCTGCTTCTGGATTAGGTCTATCCACTCACCCTTAGGAGGATCCCTAGCTTTGTGTTAAACCTTCGTTTGCTTTAGTTTAACTGTCAGATTTCCAGAATAGGCAGGCATAAACCATGGTTTATACATGGGTGGCTTCACTCATTAGAACGATTAGATGACATGCCACTGCTCGTCCTTGATTTACGACCATTTGCTCTGCAACTGTTTGAAGTTACAGTGGTGTAGGAAAAGTGTCTTACAACTGGTCTTCCCCAGTTTCGACCATCATAGCATCCCTACAGTCACCTGATCAAAATTCAGGCGCTTGGCAACCGATGTGTAGTTAGAACAGTTGCAGCATCACAATCTGCCACCCACCTTGCACAGCTTTCGACAAGCAAAGTCAATGCAGATTCACTTAACAACCAGGGCAAAACAGATGCTAAAATCAGATGTGATTCACTTAATAAGCACCTCGCTTAGCAACAAATTTTTTTGATTACGATTGTGGTCATAAGTCAAGGACTACTTGCACTGTAATTCAGCTAGATTTGACCTGAATTGTTGCTTCTCCCAACCTAGCTGATTGGCAAAGTGCACCATAGAGCTAGTTTTCTGACAAATGCATAAAGAGGTGGCCCTTTGTTAGTCTTAAACCACAGCCTTAAGTTTCCTTATCCAATTGGTTTTGTCAGTTGTTTACGTTTGTTTAGAATAAATAATGATAGGAATAGAAATATACAGCTTTTTAAAAAAGTATTGTCTTTCCTTTAATGCCATGCAATGTTTTCTGTGTCTCTGCAGAAAAGGATTTGGTTGCCAAGAAACTGGGTCCCAGTGGAATCTTATCTTTTTGTCCTCTGAGTCTTTCAACCTCTTTTTTGGTCTTTAGTTCTAGTGAGGCATTTTCTTTTTCTTTTCTTTCTTCCTCTTGTCTCTCTTTTGCTATCCAAGGGGAGCATGTGGGTAGGATGGTCCTCTCCTTTGGGAATAATTCTTCAGTGGGGGTAGAGATCTCTTTCTGAAATGCTTTTTCTTTCAAGAACCAGAGAGATTTGGTACAAATCACAGTAGATTTTCCCCATCACCAAACACACACACATACCACATTTCTGGGGCATTCAGGGAAGTTGCCAGTTCGTGGGCATTGCTCACTGTAAAAGTAAAAACAACTGATAGATTGTTTTACAGCCACAAAGCAAAAATGTGGAGTGGCAGGTTTGGAATGCGATTATCGAACTTTTAAGACTGCTATTTTCAATGTGGTCAAATGAATTGTCCCTGAAATACAGGGCAAAGTGAAAAGTTCTTTCTCCATTAGGTGTTTCTCAGGAAAGAGTATCTTTAAACTTTCAGATCCACACTGAAGCGTCCCTGAAGGACTGGAGTTGTTTTGGAATATATAATATGAATTTAAATTAGACAATTATATCATGAGCATACTGTTAATTGTCAACAAAACAATCTATCAACACCTCGCTTGTTTTTCTTGTCAGGATTCAATACAGATACATGTCAATGGGAAAGCAGAATAGTGTTTGAGATTCTCATTTTATGGCTAAGAAGGGTCTTCTTTAAGGCTTTCTGCCTTTAAAATCAAAAGCTTTTATGTTTCGACCAACTGGTTTTACTTCCTTGAATAAAACTATTGATCCTTTTGATAATCTAAAATATGGAATTGTATTTTTATTAGATGTCCTTCCTCTACATGCAACTGATCCCTTTCAAAATGCCCAGAGACCATCTCTGAAAGTATTGTACATATAATATTCCTTCCTCCACATTGAATGACTGCATTAAACCCACATGGGAAGAGAAACAAGAATAAAAACAACAACAAAGAGTTTCAATGCCCAATAAATGTTCTGATCAGATATTAAAAGGAATGTGTATTGAGATGGGATATATTTAATCAACTCAGCTCTAGAGAGGGTGTGTGATGTAAATAATATATATTTATAAAAAATTCAAATGACAAAAGTTTCAAAGGTCAGGCAGAGATATCTTGAACATGTCCAACTTATTCAGCAAAAGGAATGCAAGTGAGTCAGTGAGATTTCCTTTTTTTACTTTTGTCCTCTATTTTGTTTGTGTGTGTGCCAGTGCATTTGTGCATGCGTGTGTGATGATTCTCCTGTGCTTTTGAAAAGCAACTCATTTCCCAGAATAGGAACAAAAAGGAAGAATGCCTCTGAGATGCCTTGAAAGAAGACAAAATCTGTAAACATGCCTTATTTTTGTTTGTTAACTTGTTTCTAAAAAATAAATCACTTAATTATTGAAAGGAAACATTTTAAAATGTGCTACTGTGTTTTAATACTTCCAGTATCTGGAAGGATGGTAGCATGTAAGTTAGATGGTAGCATCTAAGTAAGCTTATTTTTAAAAACTAAGCAGGATCAGGCCTGGTTGTATATTAGTGGGAGACCAGAATCTTGGGTGTGCAGGCAAAGCTGGGAAATTAAAGAAATTGGCAATACAATATACTGACAGTCTATTATGGAAAAATGGCACATCAATAAAAGCAAAAAAAAATTAGATTAAAGATAAAGACATGCTATTCAGTGTTTCTCAAATATGGCAGCCTTAAGGTAGGGGGATTTAAACTCCCAGAATTCCCCAGCCAGCTATGATGCTGGCTAGGGAATTCTGGGAATTGAAGTCCACATGTTACCAAGTTTGAGAAACATTGTACTATATCTTTATCGATATTTTATTGCTTTTTTAAATTAAGGATCCTTATGGCAGGATATAAAGATTAAATCATAGAGTTGGAAGGAATCATAGAACACATCTACTCCAACCCCTATCATAATTTCTCAGTGTGAACTATATGATCTCTCCAGGATGCCATACTATATTTTAGGGGGTCATAGGGAGCCATCCTGGCAGGATAGACTTTGCAATAAGTATTTTATATGCACCCAGAAGTAAATAGGGCTCCAAAAGCCACAAAAAGGTTGAGAACATCTGTATTAGGGCATAATGTGATATATATATACAAACCCTATATATAAAACAATAACATTTTTCAGAGCAACAACTCAAAATGCAAATTGTAACATCCCACAGATATATACATACCAGGTGCGCACACACATAGTCTTCAAGCATTGTGGATAAATAATAATCTTGGTTTAACCTCCAGTTCCAGATAGTCTTCCGCCAATCATGCATTCAGGAATTTCTAGCAAATCCTGATTTTCCGCAAGGCATAACCTCGGCAACTTACAAATCAGACATCATTGGCTTTCTGTGATTTTCACCCGATTTTCTTATTTTATTCACTGAGGGGGTGGGGGAGGGTATTTGCACGCTGCAAAGCACAGAACTTGTGAGTTTCATCTTTGTTTCCAAAAAGGCTTTTGCAGCCCATGTAGGCTTCAAAGGCATTCTCAGAAAATAAAAATAACTTCTGACTGCACCACGGATATGCATGTCATGTGCCTAGCGGAAAAAAAAATACATGTGAAGGTGCCAAAGAATATCCAGGTATTGTACCAATGTTTATTCAATGCAAGTAATAGTGAAGCTTTGATCATTCATGCAGAGGAAGGAGTATTGGATACGTTCGCCGCCTTGACTTATTTATACAAATAAATAAAGGTGGCATTAAAAATATCTGAAAATAAAAATGCAATAGGCAATGAATACATTAGAAATTATTGTGCCCTCTGCTCTTTTTCTGTTGAGTAATCATCATCGTAAGCTTTTCCCCAAATGTTTTGTCTTTTTCAGTTTCCAAATCCTGAAACTGTCAATTTCATAACCTCATTTGCATGGTGGCGTCACTGCAAGCATGTCATTATTTTGACATCACAGCATTTCCTGCAGATGCCAAGGCTGTGATTCATTCTGAAAGTTGTGGACTCACACCCATTAATTTTTTTTTTAAAAAAAAACACCTCTCTAGATCACCGTTTCTCAAGTTTGACAAGTTTTAAGATCTATGGGCTTCAAACTCCCAGAATCCCACACAAGCCAGCTGGGGAATTCTGGGAGTCGAAGTCCACAGCATCTTAAAAGTTGTCAAGCTTGAAAAACACTGTTCTCAGTTAAACCGTTCAGAGGCACATAAACGCACAGCAGTTTACTCACACTGACCTCTTCTGGTCAAATTAGCCCTGCTGATGGTCGTACAGGTGCGCTTAGCCCCACCTCCCTGCCAGGTAAAGATAGGTTCACTTTCAAATGCTTCTGAAAATGAGATTTTCTCCATCCAGGCTACACCCCCAATCTTTTTAAGCTACCACATCCTGGTCCCCCCACCCCCATGCACACATATGCACCCCAGCTGCCTTTTCACTACATTGGTAGCTCAGGGCTGAAATGAGGGCTCCTTGGTGCTCTCTGAGTTTGTTTTCTTGCAGATCTTTACTACCCTTAACTAGCTAACATACTGATGATGTTAGCTAGTTAAGGGTAATAAAGGTCTTCAAGAAAACAAGCAAGCTCAGAGAGCACCAAGAAGCCCTCCTGCCTTTTCACTGTTCATCTTTAACAGACAATAGGATTCGAACAGCGAGGACAATCAACCAGTGGAACAGCTTGTCTCCAGAAGTTGTAAGTGCTTCATCAATGGAGGTTTTTAAGAAGAGACTGGACAGCCACTTGTCTGAGATGGTATAGGATCTCCTGCTTGAGCAGGGGGTTGGACTAGAAGACCTCCAAGGTCCCTTCCAACTCTACTCTAAACGATTCTGCTAAACAAATAATTCCCTCAACCCTGTTCAAAGTCTGTACTACTATTATCTTGTCATCACTCCTTATCACTCATCCCCTCCCACTTGTGACTGTATGACTATAATTTTGTCGCTTTATACAATTTATATTGACTGTTTCCTAGTATGATTATTTGTACCCTACAACTATTATTAAGTGTTGTACCTTATGATTCTCGACTCCTGACGAATGTATCTTTTCTTTTATGTATACTGTGAGTATTTGCACCAAGACAAATTCCTTGTGTGTCCAATCACACCTGGCCAATAAAGTATTCTATTCTATTCTATTCTATTCTATTCTATTCTATTCTATTCTATTCCACTCTGATTGATTCCACTGTTTTACAATTCCTTAAGGTGACCTACTGTGGTAGCCTTTTGAGAGCTGTAATTTCAGTATGTGCCGATTAGCATACATTCAGTGACAATAAAATTATTCTATTCTATTCTATTCTATTCTATTCTATTCTATTCTATTCTATTC